CGTTGATTTGTCCGTGTTGGCGCCCAGTTTCATCGTTCAGCACCTGGATATCAACTACACGTGGATCGACAACACCAGCGATACTCGCGCTATGCAGCTCTGTCTTTACACTGGCCGCGTGACGGCGCTGCGCGACGGTCGTCCCTCCGACTCCGCCTCTCCTCCGGACTCCGCCTTCGGTTCTGTCGCCGACCAGAGCGCCACCCTGCTGAACCTCTGTCGAGGCATGGTACGTACCTTTCATCGTTTCTTTTCCAAGCTAGGCTGTTGGAAGTCGTTTCTCATCGATCAACGCTTCGAGCGCGATCGATTGTCTGTCCACCAATCTCTGATAATTCATTAATTGAGCAGGCGGTTCTCTCTTGGATTTCGCACGTCTTCTGGCGTTCGCTCTTCTTTGGCGTTCCGCTTGCTGGCAGAAACGTTGGTTTGAAAAAACCCGGCACACGTGGATCCGCCACCGCAAAACCGGTTTCGGCTGGTATGGCATTCAGGGCTGAGCGAGCCTTTCAGCAGCTCTCCTCATATCTGTCCCCTCCGCAACTGTCGTCCTCGGGATCGATTGTTTCGAACTCTGCATATTTGACTCACTTCCATATCTTCTCGGTTTCCGACCTCCGAGGACGTACGGAGCTTGAACAGCAGCGACGCTAAGATTACTGCCATTTGGGCTGATTGAAGATTCGTCATCATCAATCGTACGTGGTCTCGACATTAGGACTGTTGTGCCAGATAACTATAGCAAAAGCTGATGTTGAAAAACGTCTTTTTAGGCGTTTTTCGGTTTCCTGGGCAAAGGTAATATTCCGTGGTTTGAGGTAGAAAACTGTAATGCAAGGTTTGTGCTCTTAGCGTCGCAACATTAATCCTCATTCAATTTCAATCTCGTATTTTGCCAATTATGCCTTTGCCGTAACCTATGGACTTTTGCGTTCGGAAAGACACCAGTGACTATGCGTTCGACGATTGTATTATCCGATACACCACATGGGTATAAACATACAGGTCAGATTGGCACACGGTTTTCAGCCGTATTTTTGCAGAACCGGATCTTCTGATGTTCATTTATTGGTTGATCCAAAAAATTTACTTCGAAAGTGAATATACCGTTGAGAAATGGTTTGTTGCGCGAGTGGTCACGGTTTTCTGCAAAAACTCTGAAATCGGGTCTGCAGCGCAACACAAAGCAAAACGATGCTAATTAGCTCACAAGTTACAAAGTTCAGCGTTTTTGCTGGTTCGATATCCGGAATATCATCTTTCGTACAGATCATACCAAAGAAGAGCAATCTCTGATCGTTTAAAACGTTCAAAGCTAAGTTTCGTTGTAAACTATTGTTATAGTTTCCATGTATGAGTCACGCTTTATGATGGTTTCAGCCTTTGGATGTATGTTTTTGGATTTGTATCGTTGCTCAAACTTCGTATCGTATGACCACAAGTCTGGTGAATTGTAATATGACCACACCGAAATGTCACTCTGTTGTTCGTACGTCATCAGCGTAGTTTCTCGGCTCAGTCAGGAGGGAGGAGGGGAGAGGTGATTCCTTGCTCAAGGCCAGTAAACGTTATTCAGTAAATTTTCTGCCATGCCTAGATTCAAAACCGCACGCTCCTTTCGCAGTTGCTGTTTCATCAATTCTGTTTATTAAAATTTCTCGCATTGCATGTTGGGACAGTTACAGAGCTTTTACATCACAGCGTTCTAGCGAAATCAATCTCTGAACAACACCGCCAAAGTGATATGCTATATTTTGCGCCATTTGACTGAGATACTAATGTCTTGAATGCTACTAAATCCAATCTCTTCCCCACGTCGAATGTCGAGTGAGTTTTGCACGCATTTTTTGAGACCATCGTTCTGAATTGTTTGCATAGGCAGAAGATCTCTGATTTGGAATGTCCGCTGTATTTTCTACAGCATGTTTACCATAATGCGTCAGTTACTGCATCACAAATTCTCTCTGGAGACAGTTCTGCCTCTGCCTTGTCCGTCCATCTTGCTAGCTGGCCTCCTGGCCTAGATTCCAGCCGAGTTTCAGGCCTCGCATAATACTTCGCGCATTTGGAGTTTACCTCATACAGGTAGGCAACACAGAAATCAGGAAATTTCATGGAGAAGGGTAAATGCCCCATCGTCTCCTAGGCATCATGATACGCGAGCTGTATAACACTGTGAAGGGAGAACAAACATCGAGCTTCTAAGTGGCGTTCCAACACGAGATGTCAGCGAGCTAACACAGAACATTCTAGTCAGCGAACAGATAAAGAAGCGCAATATGCAGTAAAGGCCACTGCTAATCTCTTAAACTGACAAAAACTGTCAAACATTCGCGACTGCTTGACTTTTTGTCCCATACACAACCAGGTGGCTCGCAGGCGGTTACAAGGAAGAGAAGAATATGCGAAAGGATCTCGTACGGCTTGAGTCTCACTGCATTTTCCTCAAATACGGAGTGGAAATTCTTCGCTTCTCCCACAGATACAAAAATTCAATTCATCAGCGTTTAAGTCAATTAACTCGTACGTTTCGGTTGACCTAATGTTCACTGTGCAATGCACGTCTTATGCTTCAACTTCAACTTCATTGCCGATGGTGGCGAAGAACTGAGGTGCATGAAACAATGCACTGGAATTTCAGGAAAAACGCTCAGGAAAACTTGATAATAAGTTATTTCTCTACTCTCTCCATCAGAAGTAATTC